CAGTGGTGGCTGCGGCAGAGAACATTTTTAGGGGTAAAGACAGTCAACCTTGTTTCTTATAAATAACTAGACTCTGGGACGAAAGGAGGCAGTGCACGAGGCCCCAACACCAATTCTTAGAGATCAGGTTGAAAGTCAAGGGGAGAACATGGAAGGCTGGAGAATGCTGAGACAATAGTGCAGGGACCAAGACTGCCTGTTGTCACCACAGGTCACAAGGTTTAGGGCAGAGATATTGGAGATTGACCACAACTGCATTCTCTACTCTCATTAGTTATATATGTGCCCAGCGTCACTAAGAAAGCCTGTGTATAATTTGCCTAGAATGCCAGTTTGATTCTTTTCAATTAATTACCCTTTTATTTCTAAAATCCCATAAGAAAGGTGCTAGAAACTGTTCTTTAAGAGAGAAGAAAAATCTGCCAATTTAATTCCGATCTGTTGTCAATTGTAAGATGCAAACTGATTATAGAGATTTTTAAAAAAGGATGTCTTATACAAAACAAACATAGTTACCAAAGGGGAAAGGAGGGGAGGGATAAATTAGGAGTTTAATATTAGCAGATACAAACTACTATATATAAAATAAATAAGCAACAAGGACCTACAGTATAGAACAGGGAACTATATTCAATATCTTGTAATAACCTATAATGAAAAAGAACATGAAAAGGAATATATGTATATATATATACCTGAATCACTATGCTGTACACCAGAAACTAACACATTGTAAATCAACTATACTTCAATAATCATAAAGAGAAGAATGTCTTAGACCCTATAAAATATTGTACCTGGACTCTGTCAGTTCATTTTGACACTAATGTTTGGATGAGTATTAACCTGAATGAGTTGTCTAGGATGCCATGTCCCCTAGAAGTGCTCCTTGCTGATTCCTAAACAGGTATCAATCCAGATTGGACGTTGTCATACCAGTAAAGTGTCTAAAATGATGCCAAACAGACAAAACCCTTTTTAAGATGAGCATGGGATGTATTTTTATTCAGATATCAAACAGTGTTTAATCCTTACCCCTAGGTAATATCAAACATGGGAAAACAAAATTTCAGTCTCTTACAGTTGCTGACTGTCTAGGCCAATGGTTCCCAACCTGACTGCAGATCAGAAACTGGGAAACTAAAAAAAATTCCTAAAATTCAAAAGCTTGATAACGTACTCTGTTGGCCAGAAAACTAAGAGTCTGGAGAGAGTCTTAGGGAGAAAGAGTGTCAAATGTTGCTGGTCGGAATGCAAGAAATCATACAGCCCCTGTGGAGGAGAGTTTGGCGGTATCTTTCAAAATCACTTATGACCCAGAAGTCCCACATTTAAGCATTTACCCCGAGGGATAAACAGATACAAACAAGCAAAAAGGAAAAAAAAATCATATACAAAAGGTTATTCACTGTGGCACTATTTGTCATGCAAATTTTGGAAACCAACCACCCAGGTCTATCCGCAGGAGGCTGATTGAAGAAACTCTGCTACATCCACACAGTGGAGTACTGTTTTACAGGAGAGCTGTAAAAAAAGAATGAGAATCATCTCTAAGAATAGATATGCAGTGAAAAAAAGCAAAGTGCAAAAGAGTCTGCTGTTGGGTGAGGGTATATAGCTCAGTGTTAGAGCGCATGCTTAGCATGCACAAGGTCCTGGGTTCAATCCCCAGTACCTCCCTTAAAAAAGTTTTTTTAAATAAATAAATAAACCTAATTACCTCCTCCCCTCTCCCCAAAAACAATAGCAGTAGAAAAGTCTGCTACCATTTTTATATATCGATAACTACACAGATAGAGTTATCTTTCTTTATATATATATTTTTTTGACAAAAAATAGGAAGATTAAACTAGAAATGATTCCCTACATGGACTCAGAAGGAGGAATGGAGTGGTGGCAGGAACTGGAAAGCATATGAGGCTTTTCTGAGTACAACATTTTTATAATTGGGGGAAGTTTTTAGCTATGTAAATATGCACATATTCAAAAATAAAATTATATCAACAAGGACATAAAAACCCTAAACTTTAGTTCAATCTGAAAAAACGAACACAATTTTATACGACAATGACAACCCAAGAACTTATTTTTAAAAAGGATTATTCAATCACTCTTGAACATGTTTCTCTAACTATATACCTTTGGTGAGATACTTTTCTCAGGATAAAAAGAACACCAAAAATACCATAAACATTACTTAGCAGGTTTGTTGTTGCTTCTTAAAACTGTGTCTGTATATGTGTGTGTTGTAGGATAAAGCAAATTAGTAAATATATTGATGGTATTAAGTAAGATTCAAGGTTCTTGATGTGGGAAAAGCCATGTATAAATATGGAATGGGAACGGTCAGGGTGACCACTGTCAGCATGAACTCATGATTTTTAAAATATATACATTCCCAGCTCTGTCCACTGAAGAGGCCCAGAAGCTATGTCACCCAGAGGAAATGAACACTCTAGTGCCAAGATCTTGGTTTCCAAGTATTGTTCACCACTGAGAGGAAAGACCGTTCCCTGGAGAAATGACTGATTTCAGATCAGAGACAGAGCATGTGTAAGGTAAGCCTGGAACATCTTATATCAGAAAGCAAAGAAAGTGTGCAGAGGATGGTAAGTACAGGTCAAAGGGAAAAGTAGCAAGCGTGAAGGGCCAAATATGGGACAATTGGGAAATTTAGAAAATCGAAAACAAATAAATTGAATTTTTGAAAGTCTATGATTCCATAGAGACACTAAAGAAGAGGGCTTTTTCTTCATGAAAGAATGTGAGCTAACAAATGGAGAGGAATAATACAATTAGGAAATCATTATTTTGCAGTCTTCAGTGTGGCTCAGACAAGGATCACCAATGTGTGCTGAAACTACTGAGTGAAAGTGTGCTGGGGAATGTAGTATTCACATAGTACCAAAATGTTATCCAGATATTACCCATTGATTATTAAGAAAAAGCATACCTTTAAAATGAAAAAAAAAAGTTGGCAGACGTCATCTTAACCAGGTAACCAAAGTTAGCACAAAACAAGCAGACTGCCTCTCCTGAAGTGATGAGATGGGCTGTACCCAATAGCACCTGTGTGGTGTTCTTACTAAGATGTTTAACCTGAATCTCCTTGTGAGGACATAATCAAACAGACTGAGCAACATTCCACGAAACAGTTATCCTGAACTCTTCAAAATTGGCAATTTTGTGACAGGCAAAAAAAAAGGTAGGAAATGCTTTGAGCTAAAGAAGTCTACAAAATCAAGACTAAATATAAAGTGTATAAGGTTTGATTGGATCCCAGAGATTTTTTAAATAAGTTAAAATATGTTTTACTAAAAAAAAAACAAAAAAACAAAAAATAACTGGAATAATTGGAATAATTTAAATATGGAATGGTCATCTTATCACTGTTTTAAATCTATTTCAGTAGCTCAAATGATATGATTTGTAAGCAATGGGTGTCAAAATTTCAATTATCAAACATTATTAATGTTTAAACATACAGGTCATTTTTTTCTTTTCCATTATGATTTATTACAGGATATTGAATATAGTTCTGTGTGCTGCACAGTAGGGCCTTATTGTTTATCTGTTTTATATATAGTAGTGTGTATATGTTAACCCCAAACTCCTAATTTATCCCTCCCCCCAACACTTTCCCCTTTGATAACCATAAATTTGTTTTCTATGTTTCATACAGGTCTTCTAAAACATTTCATTTAATCCTTTTTAAACTGGTTAGAGTATTTTATTTATTTATTTATTTTAATTTTTTATTTTCATACAGTTTAAAAGGTTAATTTCCATTTAGTTACTACAAAATATTTGTTATATTCCCTGTGTTGTACAACACAACCTTGAGCCTATCTTACACTCAATAGTTTGTACCTCCCTCTCCACAATCTCCATAGAGATCCCTCCCCACCCAACTAGTAACCACTAGTTTGTTTTCTGTATCTGTGAGTCTGCTTCTTTTATGCTATATTCACTAGTTTGTTGTATTTTTTAGATTCCACATATAAGTGATATCATACAGTATTTATCTTTTTCTGTCTGACATACTTCACTTAGCATAATGCCCTCCAGGTCCATCCATGTTGCTGCAAATGGCAAAATTTTTGTTCTTTTTTATGGCTGAGTAGTATTCCATTATATATATATATATATATATATATATATATATATATATATATATATATTATATATATATATACCAAATCTTGTTTATCCATTCACCTGTTAATGGGCACTTAGGTTGTTTCCATGTCGTGGCAATTGTAAATAATTCTACAATGAACATTGAGGGGAATGTTATCTTTCCAAATTACTGTTTTTGTTTTTTTGGCTGTATACCCAGGAGTGGAATTGCTGGGTCATATGGTAGTTCTATTTTTAGTTTTTTTAGGAACCTCCATACTGTTTTCCACAGGGGCTATACCAATTTACAGTCCCACCAACAGTGTACAAGGGTTCCCTATTCTCTACATTTTTGCCAACATTTGTTATTTGTGGTCTTTTGGATGGTAGCCATTCTGACAGGTGTGAGGTGATATCTCATTGTGGTTTTGATTTGCATTTCCCTAATGATTTGCAATGTTGAACATCTTTTCATGCATCTGTTGGCCATCTGCATTTTCTCTTTGGAAAAATGGTTGTTGAGTTGCATAAGCTGTTTATGTATGTTGGGTCTTAATCCCTTATAGGTCATATCATTTGCAAATATTTTCTCCCATTCAGTAAGTTGTTTGTTTGTTTTGTCAATGGTTTGCTTTGCTGGGTGAAAGCTTGTAAGCTTAATTAGTTCTCAGAGTATTTTACTTCATAATGAATATACTGTTTCAAATGTAGAGATTGTTTTACATTTTGTAAAGATAAAGGCTGTGGCTTTTATGAATTTTCTTTTTCTCTCTCTGCCCAACCAACTTACAATAATGGTTTTACAGGTAGCCAACCACATAAAAATCCACTGCATAAAGCAAATTGAAAAGTAGCCACAATAAATAAACCAAAGAAGAAAGCACACTGAAAAAATTCATGCACATTGACAAGGACCTTCAATTTTTTTGTCTTTTTTCTCACATGATAATTAGCACAAGGACTTTAAAAAAAATTGGGGGGGAGAGGTAATTATATTATTTATTTAATTTTTAACATTGGTACTGGGGATTGAACCCAGGACTTCGTGCATGCTAAGCACACACTCTACTACTGAGCTCTACCCTAGCTCCCCTACCCCTAGCACAAGGACTTTTATATGACAGGGGCTTGTCATAGCTTAAGACCAGGCAGGTAACTACAAGTAACTAAGACTGACTCAAGAATAGGGCACAATATGGGGATAAAGTTCCCAGAACATGGAACAAGACAGAAAAGCACTTGATAATTAGGGCTAGAATTCCTAATTAGGAATAGAGCTCCTAGTGACAGATGGTACATCCCAAAGTGTGGGCCAGCAGTGAGGATGATAAATCCCTGGGGTCATGCTGCCCCTCTTGTTTCTACACCCTCAGCAGACACTAGTTTTTATCACCATATTTTTCCCCATTGGGTTGAAACAGGTTGGAGTTCTGTCTCAACCCAGTGCTCAGAGTCACCACCAACAATCAATTGAACATGTATTTCACATGAATAAGAACTACAGTTTTTAAATTCTTCTTGTTTCAAATTAAGGCTCGAGTTGCAAGCAGAGGAAAGGCCATATTCCTATGGCTTTCGGAGGAAGCTGGCCAGTCTGGCAACTGGGCAGGCGTGAACAGTGCTCAGTAACTATTAAATTAGAAAGTGAACTAAAGTATGAAGGAGCAGCAAAAAATGATTCCCTTCTACATTGCAGCTGGTAGCATGTATGTCAAGTACACAGGCTGCAAACTAAGCAGGAGCAAGAGGGCTGCCCCGCTTCCTAGAGGCAAGATGCTGATGGAGATATCAGAAAGCAAGTCTGAACCAGATGGCCACAAAGGTGTTATTTCAGGGTATTTGTGAGGCTGGTGGGATCTGCTAACCTGTGGTGTTTGAGATAAATTCAAGAGAATTCTTGATTACGGTTTCCCTCCCTGACTCTTTTATAAATAACACCCATGCTTTTCCACTCTTTGAAATTCCACCATTATCCATTTTTTTTCAAAACTAGGCTTTTAGGCAAAAAAGAAAAAAGGATATACCATAAAGTGGCTTGAAATTATATGTAAAATAACATGTTTTTGAGAAATGCTTGTGCAGCACTTTTTGTTTGCAGAATATTTTTTATTGCAAACATCCTAGCTAATTATCTTTCCTAGTCATTCAGGGGTTGGCTTACCCTTCTATTACATATGTGAGAAACGAGACAGAGAGATAAGTTCAACTTGAGTTAACTAAAATGTGCATACTTCTTAGCCAATGGAAATCAAAATAACTTGCCCAAATTATACAGTAAATCAATTATCTGGCCATGATGAAAACCTTCAGCCTCCGAAGCTGCAGATCAGTTCACTGAACCATTCTGTCTTTCATAAGGATTTTATTACTTTGTAATATATTGATTTTTTTCCTAGAAAGATTAAACTCTCCCTTTCAACTTCCATAGTAAAGTGTATATTTATCAAAACTATAACTGTTGACTATTCAGGAAATAAGGGCACCACTTATTTGTTCTGTATCTCTGTCTTCTATGTTCCCAACATGGCCATCGCTTTCTCCACAGCTTATAAACATAAACGTGCCCCAAAATCTTAAACTTTATAAAATCTCCTGGCTCTATGACCCCGCTGATATATTATTTTACTACTTTCTCTTTTCAGTCAAACTTTGTGACAGAATGGTCTGTACTCACTGTCTTCCTTTTGGCACTACTCAGTCACTCTTCAATCACTGAAGTTTACTCTGCTGCAGCCAGTCAACTGATATGTTCTTTGAAGTGTATCAATAGAGCTTATTCATGTTGTATAACTGAAATTTATACCAATTTCTGTACAGTATAGCACCTGTAGTATGGTGCTGTAATGTGCACTTAAAATGTTGATAATAGAGCTGATCTCATGGTAAGTGTTTTTACTACAGAAAATTAAATTAAAAAGGACACAAGGAAACTTTTGGAGATGACAGATAAGTCTATTACCTCAATAGTAGCGATGCCTTCACAGGTGTATGTTATGGCCAAACACATCAAATTGTATACATGAACTATGTGAAATTTTTTATATATCAATTATACTTCAATACAGTTTTTAAACAGTGTATCAGTAGCCTCAATTATTCCCAACTCCAAAGGGCACTTTAAGAATTTATCTTTCAGGATCAACTGATGCATCTGACTTTGTCAAGTTCTCTCTCTCATTACTTTCTATTTTTGCCCCTGTCCATTCTTTCTTTATCTCTTTTGGGAACTCATCCTGCTTTAACTCTCTTCTAAATGTTGGAGTTTCTGAGTTCCATCCTTCGTCCACTGTTTTACTCATGATAGAGTTTCTCTTTGGACTTTCAATTACTCTCAGAACTTTAACTCTCTCTGTATCCTAGTGAATTCCAAAACTAAATCTCTATCCGTGACTTTTTCTCCAGATTTCAGGCTCTCATTTACAAATACCTGTTAGACATTTCCAATCTTGTGAGATCCACAGGCTAATATTCAAAGAACATTTTTACCCTCAATCCTGTTCCTTTTATATTCCCTATGTCATTTAATGAATCAACATCCCCCAAATCTTAAAACTAAGAGTTTGCTGGTCTTCCATATTCCATTAATCAGCAAGCTCCTTCAGTTATACCTCCTAAACATTAATTAATCTTATCTTCTCTGGCTCTACTATCTCCAACATAGTTTAGTCTCTGCCCAGTTTAATTTTGTTCTAATTGAGTTTCTCATTTCTAGTCTTGACTTCTTCAGATTTATCCATTGGACCAAAGCCATAATACCTGTGTAAAATAAAATCTGACAATCATTCTTCTTAACAGCCCCCTAAATTTCCCTATGGCAGAAAAAACTCCAAGCTTATAAAAGCAACTACAAGGACATCATAACCTGGCTTTCATTACTAAAATATTTATAGGTTCCTTTTTACACAGAACTTTATCAAGCCTTGACTGTGGGCTCTGTCTGGAACAGTCTTCTGGTCTCTCCCCTATGGCAGTTATTAGTACTATTCACCACTGTTTCTAAATATTCTCCTCTTGGTCCACAGTAGGATAGCACTTCCCACACCCTTGAAATTAACCATGGTAATGTGACTTGCTTTGACCAAGGAAAGGTGAGTAAAAGTAATGTGTGTCACATCCAAGCAGAAGCTTTTAGGAGTAGATGTCTGACGTTCCATCTTCCCTCCTTCTGCTATGGCAACTAGCAACATCCCAGATGGTAGAGTATGTGTCAGCTTCAGTCCCTGAGTTGGGGCAATATCCTGAGATGGACATGAAGCATAAAGGAGAAATACACCAGTGTTGTTTCTTCTAAGCCCTTAAGAATGTTGAGGTATTTATTACCACAGCATATTCTAACCTGTTCTGACCCACACACCTTATTCTAATCTTTTTATCTGGCTAATTATTACTTATGCTTCCAATTTTACTCGGTTATTGCCTCCTTTCAGAAAGTTTTTTTTTTTAATTTCTAGGGTATTTCCTCAACTATAAAATGGGGATCATAGGGCTGCAGTAGGATGTAAAAGATTAATTTATATAGAATACTTAAAATGGTAAGTATCTAGATTTTAGCTTAATAAAATGTGCCTTTTTATGTGGGTGCTATTACAATATCACTGTGTCAGTTAATTAATTCCCTTCTCTTTCCATTTTGCATTTAATTTGTATGTATACCTCTTACATCCTTTAATAAAGATCAAGCTAGCCAATATATTTCCCCAAATAGCTCTCTTAATCCAAGTGCCAACATTATAATTGCCAGTCTAGGGACTGGAAATGACCAAAATAAAAAAAAAAGGAGAGCATGCAGACACCATCATCAGGCTTCAGTTATAGTGAGTGGTCAGATTTTGCTCATGTGATTAACATCTCTGAGCTTCATTTTCCTCAACTACAGTATAAAAATACTAATATGTAAAGTTTAGTTTGGTTTGGGTTATTTTTTTCGTTTGGTTGGTTGGTTTTTTTGGGTTAAAGTAAACAACAGAGAGAAAGTGATAAAGAGCTTAGCATCCTACTGGCAGAGAGACATGTCGCCATGTGTGGTTCTCATTCCCAGTTGCTATTATGCTCATCATCTGTCGTCGTGAGTCTTTAAGAAAGTCTGTCTGTCATCCTGGGACTGTGAAAGGTCATACCTTTGCCTTGCCCCTGCTACAGTTTACAGGACTAGAAGCTCCCTAAGGGCAGGTATGCCCACTGAGTTACATTTCTCTAGAATGCCAAAAATAGTGCTCAGGAAATACTTATTGATTTCAGCTGAAGTTTTCATCAAATGTCTTGCTTAATAACCCAAACCTATATGATGAGTCATTGCATTGAGGACAGAGTTAAGATTACACTTGGAGAGGATACAAACCCCAGTCCTCTCACCATGAGGGGAACAGGCTGTTTGTCTAGGAACTTGCCCTTCCATCTGAACTGCAGGAGTTGCCACCTATGACGTTGGTGATTATTCACAAATTCTAAGCACACATCCGTATCAAAAGAAGGATAGGTGTGTCTTCTGGACAGTGAGATACCAGGTAATCTGCAAGCTTCAGTTGCCTGGACAATTCAAAGCACCTGGAGGTTGAAATCTCTGCTCCTGTTGTGTGGCAGCTGTGACAA